ATTGAGCCTAAATCAATTTAAATATCTTCAACTTTAGTCTAATTGACTAATGAACGACATGAACGATATGCAATTTGTATAGTCATAAATTGCAGAGCATATATCCTCTTGAATTTTATACTTATAGATATGAGTTTCCCTGAAAGATTATATAATTAAAAGTATCACTAGTGAATTTCAATATCGACCTAGATTTGGTTATCCTTGAAGGATTGGTCCTGTTGACAGTACCAAAATTACATAAGAATTATCTAGCGAGGATCTTTGACAAATTGATCTAGTAAGTAATCTCATTGATTTTTGGATAAATTCATGATCTTTTGATTTTACATCAGCTCTGCATATTCAATATACTTTTAATGAAGTTATGTAACCAGAATGTTACATAGATTGAATCAATACAAAAGTATTATGAAATTATTTATGTTTGCTTGTATATTTGATGAGATGCATACCACAGACTTATATTGTTGATAGCTATAATGTTAATTTATATGTGGTGCCTGAAGCATATAATATAGTTTATAGCTACAATAAAAGACTCACAAGCAAAGTATAGTTGTAGTGCCTGAAGCATATTGTGTTCACTTAGAAATGATCATTATAATTCGATGCCCAACTTATATATTGATAATTAGCATGAGCAGTTGGATCATATTGGGCAATTATTTATGAAAATTTCCCCCTAAAATGCGTGGAGAATCAAGCATTTCCCATCTGCAATTTATTGTTACATTTTTTTATCACCACCAATTCGTACCTTTATGGGCCTATATTACAAACTAGGTATGCTATTTTTTTTATACTCCGTTGAATCTTTAATACCTAGAGGCCCTTATGGGGATCAGTTTATTATTTGGTACGTGTTTTGCATAATACATGAAGATGATTTCATGGCATTAGGGGGAGATATGAACATAAGTTTATTAATGCCATGAAATATGTGAAATATAAATTAGTTGAAACCACGCAATAAATATTGAACTTGAAGTTCATATTATATTTCTGCCAAGTGAAATCTATAATAATAATGGAGTGGCCAATTTGTAAATATATCGATGTACCACAAAGTAAGCAAATTTCCTAGGGAATGATTGACTCCTTAGTGCTAGAAGCATAAGGGGATACAATAAATATATGATGTATGGAAGTCCGCGGAAAATGTATATTCAAGAATTAACACTCCTTTATGAGAAACTCCTGAAGAGTTGATCCAGTACATCTTGCACGTGCATCAAACCATTATAGTACTGGAAATGCGGAACGGCCAAAATTAGATATTATGGGAAATGATTATAAATATGGCTAATAAATAAGAAGTTGCATATATGGTTGAGAGAAAAATATAAGTTGAATATCATAGTTGTCGACAACATACTTGCCTATGTGATTTCTTTACTATCTCATATAATGATCCGGATCATAATAATAAAAGTGCTAGAAGCACTTAGGTTAGTTGAGATAGAAAGAAAAATTGAGGCAGAGCTTTCACTCGCTACACGATATATCCCAGGAGGATAGCATATCCCAGAAGGATAATGAATATTTATATGAAACATGTGATGTGGTGGTGTGATGTAAATATAGCGAGATTATGCTCATGGGTTTATGCAGAGACCCAAATGTTTATTTAGATAAGTTCTCTCATTATCAATGATTCCGCAAGTTAATATTTATGTCAGCATTATTACAATGACTATTGAGTCATATGTGAAAGTCCTGGATGGACTCGAGTACCTGAGATGAAAGATAATTAAATGATAAATAGTTTCATTATTTAAAGTTGTTGGTGAGATGTGGTACAACCAACTAAATTCTTCCTGAAGAAGTAAAATAAGAAATTCAAGGCAGAACCTTGTGTATAATGATAATATACAAAATGATCATCTCGGCCAAATAGATTATATGGTGAACACTATGTAAAATATTAAATAAGTTAGCTCATGCTTATAGACGGAGTAAGGATGAAACTTTTGGTTGAATACCAAATAGTATTATCTCGACTTGTAGATCGAGC